GCAATCTTGATTCCAGCTTGTGCTTCATCCAGCCCAGCGTTTCTCATGATGTACTCTGCATAGAAGTTAAATAAGCAGGGTGACAATCTACAGCCTTGATGTACTCCTTTTCCTATTTGGAACCAGTCTGTTGTTCCATGTCCAGTTCTAACTGTTGCTTCTTGACCTGCGTACAGGTTTCTCAAGAGGCAGGTCAGGTGGTCTGGTATTCCTATCTCTTTCAGAATTTTTCACAGTTTATTGTGATCCACACAGTCAAATGCTTTGGCATAGTTAATAAAGCAGAAATAGATGCTTTTCTGGAACTCTCTTGCTTTTTCGATGATCCAGCAGATGTTGGCAGTTTGATCTCTGGTTCCTCTGCCTTTTCTAAAGCCAGCATAAACCTCAAAGACAACTGAATCTTATCATTATTGAATTCTGCTCTTTGGATCTTAGATTGGTAATGCTCAACCAGTATGAGGTCTGTAACTCTAATGCTCTGGATTTACTTTTATAACATTCATTTTCAAAATGTATAAGGGAATGCACACATGTATACATTTTTAAATATAATAAGTTAAGACCAAAAAATAAATATAAAAAGCAGTAGCCAAATGAAAACTGGGTACCTGGTCTGTATTTCAGTTCAGAAGTGTAACTATCATTTAGGTCATGCTTTTGGAGGCAGCTGTAGTCCTCTTCATTTCACTCCAAGATGTCTTTCTCCCGTAAGTTTTCTAACTCCCATTAGGGACTGCATCTTCCAGAAGACAGATATGAAGAGACTAGGATACAAGCTGCAATTGAAACAGAAAGTAAGGTGAGAATGTTTTGAGATGAAGGTGGAGAAGGATGAGTTCATGAAGGATTGCAAAGAAAGAAAAAGTGTATCAGAGTTGTTCCTTGGTGACCTTGTGGTTAGGATTCCAGGCTTTCATGGTCACTGCCGTGGCCCATGTTCAATCCCTCTTCAGGGAACTGAGATCCCACAAGCTGCACAGCACTTAAGAATTACAAGTATTCTTGGAACAAGAGCAGTAATCAAAATTATAATCTGAGAATAATATACAACACTGAAAATAAAGACCTTGAGTATTCCAGTCAAAAAGGCCAAGCATTTTTAGTTAAAATAGATGAAAATAAACACGTGACTATTAATAGGTACACCCTGACTGTGGTTGTTACTTAAAATGCTAATGAAACAAAACACTATATGCTTCCACAAAAAAATAAAATACATGCACAATAGAAAAAAAAGTAATACAAAAAAAGTAATACATCTTGCAGCGTTACCTTTCCTATGTTAAGTACAACGTTCAGTAATGTGGGAGACATTTACCCTTCTTGAAGAAACAACCAAGTCAAATAATACTTAGCCAACCAGGAGTTAAAAATGCATGCATAGAAGAGTCATGGATGAAATGACTGGTATTTGTTATCCATTTCTAGATATGTAACCTAAATTTGAACAAAAATGGAAGCATAAAAATGTTTAGCAGAAAATTATTATATAAAATAAGGAGACTCAGCAATCTTGCTTATGAGTATTTACCCAAGAGAACTGAAGTTGTGTTCACACAAAACCTGTGTGTGAATGTTTACAACATTTGTGTTTACAATTGCTAAAAGCTGGAAACAACTCAAATATCCAGCTGGTGAATAGGTAAATTGTGTGATACAGACAGTGGAATACTGTTCAGCAGTTAAGGAGTGAACTACGGATATACAAATCAACATGGATGGATATAGTCAAAAGACTATATGCTATGTGATTCCATTTACAGGATAAGGTAAAGTTAATAGGAGCAGAAAACAAGTCAATGGCTCAGGGGCTGAGGGTGGAGAGAAGTTGGCTACAGGGGGGCAACCTGAGGGCATTTATGGGATGATGGATCTGTTCCACATGTTGATTGTGGCAGTGCTTACACAACTGTATGGGTTTGTTAAATCTCATGGAATTGTGAACCCCCCCAAAAGTGAATTTTACTATACATAAATTTTAAAAGTAGGGAAAAACAAGAGACAGCGCAAGTGCCTACAAAAATTAATGTGTGTGTGTGTGTGTGTGTGTGTGTGTTGTGTGTGTTAGTTGCTCAGTCATACCTGACTCTCTGTGATCCTATGGACTGTAACCTGCCAGTCTCCTCTGTCCATGGGATTCTCCAGGCAAGAATACTGGAGTGAGTTGCCATTTCCTGCTTCAGGGGATCTTTCCCACCCAGGGATGGAACCCAGGTCTTCTACATTGCAGGCAAATTCTTTACGGTCTGAGCCACCGGGGAAGCCCAGTGTCTGTACAACAGTGTGAATATACTTACAGTTTTGCATAGTATACTTAAAATTGGTTAGGATCGTAAATTTTATGTGATGTGTATTTTACCACAGTTTAAAAAAATTCAAATGCAAAACTGTAAGACAAGTAATATATTTATAATGGTTTATTATGTAGTCATTAAATAATTTTTCCAAGGAATTATTAATAAAGTAGGAATATGGTTATAATATTAAACTGAATACACAGTTGAATTGGCTATAAATAAATCTGTAAATAAATTATGGCAGAAACACTAGAAGATGAAATGCTAAAATATTAAGGGTAAAGGTCTTGATGATGGGATTTTTTTCATGATATATTTTCCTCCTTTATACTTCTTGGCACATTATTAGTTTTCACTTATTCTTTTTATAGTTGATAAAAATAGAATCGTCAGAAAGGGTATGCAGTGAGTTATATATTGCTGACATAGACTGGTTCAGTCATTTCATATAGGCTCATATTTAAATCACACCAGCAAAAAAAAAAAAAAAGATCTCTTTGGATTTAATTTGTAGCAATTCTGTTCTTCCCAGATTAACTATTCTAAAACAAATGACATAGTGACAATTGGCTTTTAATTCAAGATTGTGAGTTAAGCCTGTGTTTAGCTTTTCTGGCTCCAAATTTGCCATTGAATTGACCAGGGGAACGTAAGGGGTAGAAACATAACTCCATGGAAAAGTTGGAAAAGTTGACAGGTGAGTTATCTTAAGGAGTTAATGTATATAGAAAATATAGAGCAGCAAGCCCTGCACTGAGGAAGGGACCTGCCAGATGGAATTCCAGACATCCAGAAGGAAAGTCTGCCTGGAAGATGAGTGCAGGGTCCCAGAGCAAGTGGCTGGAGGGGAGGGGAGTGTGTGTGGTGGTCACCCTGGATTCTCAAACCTATGTGTATATGGGGATATGACTTCATACCCTACAGTATCAGTAGTCTAAGGAAGTTGCCCCAACACTATTTTGTAGCATTTGTTTAGTAAGACCAGTGGCTGAAGTAAAATATAAGCATTGCTCAAGTTAATTCCTGGCAGAAACAGTTGTATTTCTTTAGAGTATTTTAACAGTTAATGTGAATGTAGTGACATATGAAAATATGATTAAATATACCTGTTCAATGCATTAGGAAATTTTTTGTTTTTTAGGAATTATGCTTTTAAATTTTTTTTGCTTTTTAAACTTTATTGAAGTGTAGTTGATTTACAATGTAATTTCTGCCCTACAGCATGCTAACTCAGTTATGCATATTTAATTCTTTTTTATATTCTTTTCCATATGGTTTATCATAGATATTGAATATAATTCCCTGTGCTGTATAGTCCGACCTTGTTCTTTATCCATCCTATATATACTAGTTTGCATCTGCTAATCCCAAGCTCCCAGTCCACCCTTCCCAACTGCCCTACCTTGGCAAACATTAAGTCCATTCTCGTCGTCCATGAGTCAGTTTCTATTTCATAGATATGTTCATTTGTGTCATATTTTAGATTTCACATATAAGTCAGATGATGTTTTGTATGGAGGGCCCAGTTAACTTGATGACCTCAGCAAGTAAGGAAGAGAAATTCTCCCACAGTGGGGTGCTACCACAGGGGGGTGCCAGTAGCTTTCCTTTCCTTTTCACAGGGGGAAAAAAAAACACATGCACACGTTATACACACACACAATACTATAATACTATTAATTTCAGTGGTTATATGAACCCTAGGGCTAAAACTGTGCTTAAGTAATACTATTACATGAATTCAGCTAAAGAATTCACTATTGTGACACTTCTGTGAGACTTTTTGGCCTCCTAAAAGTTATTTCTTAGAATTTAAACTTTGAATCTTTGAGTCAGTGTTCATGAATAAAAGTTTTACAAGTGCCTTGTTTTCATTTTTTTCCCCCTGCTTGCAACTTCCATGAAATCCTTATTTTCTTTCCCCCCCACCAGGAATTGTGAAGGGCAGAATATTCGATACAAGACTTGCAGCAATCATGTAAGTTCTGGCATAAAAATATATAATCCCATAAAATATGTTCATGTTTTAAGTAATAATATTATGTATTGTAGAGCTAATGGCCTCTTGGTACTCTTTGTGGAAAATTTGAATATTTGTTTAATTGATGACAGATTTTGTGTATCTCATACCTTCCATTTATACTACCTTTTTTAAAAGGTCACCTTATGGTTTAATTTGGTAAACATTTTAATAATTTCTGATTTCATAGAAACAATACATAATACTTATAAATGCCTTCCAAGTTCAAAGTGCTCTATGTATGGGATTTCACCTAACCCTCACAACCATCTCTGAGATGTTTGCATATGCGGTGTGGTTAGTTTTTTCAAATGAGGGGACTGGGGTTGAGGGAGGTGACATTATTTTCCAGAGACCATGTGGGAAGAGTACAGACTTGAACTTCTCTAGTGCTTTTTTCGTGTTCCAAAACACCTGTTCTGCCCCCTGCAAAATGTATTAAGGAGTACTGAAGGTCATGACTCAAGAAAATCACACCTGGGGAAGGGTTTATAAACCTTACTCTCATCCTACAGTGATCAAAATGAATAAAAAATAAAATCCCAATACAAATGCAAAATAAATATCAGAAAACACAAATCCTATTTTATACCCAAATTGAAATGACAGGAGTTCAAAGCAAATTCTGAAACCCTGGAGATCTAAGTCCATTTATTCTAAATATTTCACTTACTGGGGGACTGTGCTCTCTCCTCCTCCTCTGTCCTGGGCCAGTGTGAGACTGCAGTCCTGAGTAAGCATTTCTGTTCTACGGACCAGAACTTCTCTTCCATGGACAGCTCTGGACTTGGGGAGTGGAGAACACACAGTGTTAGCAAGACCTTTTGTCTGTGGAACTCAAGCCATATTTTCAGTCTGTTTTATTAAGTGACGAAGCAGAAATGTTTCTCTCTCAAATATGGGTGGGAAAAATTCTTATTTATTGGGCAGAGGATGAGATGGTTGGACAGCATCACCGACCTAATGGACATGAGTTTGAGCAAACTCCAGGAGATAGTGAAGGACAGAGGAGATTGGTGTGCTTCAGTCCATGGGGTCACAAAGAGTCAGGCATGACTTAGCAACTGAACAACAACAACAAATTTTGGGGGTACTCAAAATACAATGACTTCCAGCCCTCAGGTCAGTATATTTGTGTCCATTCTGTCCTAAAAGGGATTTTGGGAGACAAAGCAGATAGGTTTCGTGTGTCCTTATGACAAGATGAGCTTGGAGAATCGAGTGACACACGTGTGCTTAGGTACACAATTAAGTGAGCTGGAATCCAGGAGGGGAGGAGGAGGGAGAGAAGTAGGTACAGGCTGGCATTTAGATATAAGCAGAGTCTAGCATGTGGATGCGTGAGCAGCCTGGGGGACTTATAAACATGACTTTTGGGTCTGCTGCCTTTTTCCTGGGTCCATTTTATTTTTTAATTGCTGCTGTAATGCGTTAAAACACACTTGCTTACAGCAACACAAATTTATAGTTCTGGAGGTTGGAGGTCTGATAACGGCCTCCCTGGGCTAAAATTATTGTGTTGGCAGGTCTGTGTTCCTTCTGGAGTCTCCAGGGAAGGATCTATTTCTTTGTCTTTTCCAGCTTCTAGAGGCTGCCCTCATTCCTTGGCTTGTGGACCCCTTTTCCGTCTTCAAAGCCAGCAACACTACATCTCTCTGTCCATTTTTATGTAGTCACATTGGCCTTTGATGACAACTGAACAAGTTTCACCTACCCAGATAATCTAGGATAATCTCCCCATCTCAGGGTCCTTAACAGTAGTCAAAGGATGCTTTGGACAAAGCCCCTTTTGCCATATAAGGTAGCCTAATCACAGGTCCTAAGGATTATGTTGTGACCATCTTTGGGGAAGGTGCATTATTCTGATGAACACCACGGAACAGCTTGTCTTCTCGGACAAATTGGTATGGCAAATTCCTTGCAGTCATTCCAGAATAACTTTCACAACAGTATACTGTCAAGCAGTACTCTGTGAAGCTATCTGGGGGATTCATTTTAAATGCCCAGATCAAGATATTGCATTCTGAGATTTCATTCTAGGGTGTGTGTGTGAGAGACTGTTCTAGCTAATTCCAAAAGACTGCTCTTTTCAGCACAAGGGTGATAAAGGTCTGGGATTATTGTGCCATACGATATAGAGATAAAATGTAATCTCTAAAATTGGTGCATATTGGTTGCAATGGTCAAACACAAACATTGGTTTGAGTGAAGGTCTGATGCCTTTGAGGCTCTGAGGGTCTTGAGAGTACCTTGGTCTTGAGAGTACCTTGGTCTCTAACTGATGCCCCCCTCAGAGGAATTTGCAGAAATCTTTACCATCTCTAGGCTGGTAAGAAGGAGATGCTTTGGAGGTGGGAGCTAGTGGAGAGGACAGCCAAGTAAATGTCACCCTCTTCTGTTTCTCAGAGTTGGGAGTCCTACGAGGATTGTTAGAGAGACTTCATTAGAATAGGACATTAATTTCTGCACTTGCCATTACAAATGCAGAGTTTCCAACAACATTCCTTACAGGGAAGAAGGGCACCGTATGGCAGATCTCTCGTATCAGTAGTGTTCAGGGCACCCCTCCCTCTCCATGTACCAAGTATCTGCAGCCACGATACTCAAGCCCTGCTGCAGACCACATGGATAAATGCAGCCCTAGCTGCAGGGTTGATGATCTGTGAGAAGATCTGTTCCTTTTCAGAAGTGATTATAGAAACCTTGCAAGGGTGTCCGGTGCCATAAGTCTATGTGCATGCATGCATGCTGAATTGCTTCAGTCGTGTCCAACTCTTTTCTGACCCCGTGGACTGTTGCCTACCAGGCTCCTCTGTCCATGGGATTCTCCAGGCAAGAATACTGGAGTGGATGTCCATGCCCTCCTCCAGGAGATCTTCCTGACCCAGGGATCTAACCCATGTCTCTCATGTCTCCTGCTTGGGCTAGGGAGTTCTTTACCACTAGAACCACCTGGGAAGCCCCATAAGTGGATGTAACCAGAATGAACTCAGGGTATCAATATGGTCACATCTTGGTTTCTTTTTTTACATGTAATTACTTGACATGCTTCTTGTTTCATTAATTAGGGATTTGGAATAACCTTGTTGAAATCTCCAAGGAGTCCAGAGAACAGGAGTGGGGACTGTTCTGCAGCCCTCATCAGGTGGAGGGAGAACTGAGTTATGAGTCCTGCTGTTGCTTCTCAATGCTTCCAATGTCCTCACTGAAATAGCCCACACTTGTTCAATAGTCAGTGGCTCCTCTGTCCCTGGGGATTGGGCACGTCACCACTCCTCTGAAGGAAGCTGCCTTCAGTGATTCCCAGGTCAGGTACTCTTTTATAAGGGAAACTTGCTTCGTGACCCAAATATGCCTGCACCTACACTGCTGGGGATCTGAGAACTCTATGTGATGGGACTGCAAGATCTCGCATTCCATCCAAGGGATGTCACTCAGTGGCCACATAGGGGAGTGTGCTGTGTTGAGAAGCAGAAGGCACTGCCGGTGAGCCCTGGAGACCTGACATTCAGTCCTGTTCCTAAGGTTGCTAATACTTTTCTGTTCCTGGTTATTTGAAGGCTCAGGCTCTCAGCCTTAGGACCATGTAATTTTTCACATGTGTACCAGCTTTCTAACTCCTAACCAAGATCAATAATAATAGCAACAACAGTGGCTCAGACTCATTAAGTACTACTAAAAGTCCTAGGCATTGTTTTGAGTGCCTTTTCATGAATAAGTAAATTTAATCCTCATACTCCCTACACAGTTGAAAGTGATTAGGGGAGATCAGACTTTGGCCTGGAAGGCCTGTGAGATGAAGGGAACAGAACATGTCTGTGTGCAGTCCTATGGCTTCGGGTAATGGCTGTCCTCAAACATGACCCTCCGATCAGCACTCAGCATGGACTCTTGAAGCCAGGGCTGGGCCACTGAGGCCTCAGGGAAGAATTATCCTTATCGGGGCTGTACGGAGAAGTGGAGAGGTTCCAAGGGCAGTCATGCATGTCACCAAGGAGGCCTTGCACCTGAATTCACTCACTTATATGTTTTTATACCAGGCTTTATGGGATTAAAGGTAAAGCTAGAAGAGAGCAAAGGGAACATATTTTTAAAAATGAATATATCATAATTTGGAAAGACTGTTTTTGTAGCCTGAACACATTTTTTTTAGGACCTTGGCTTGGGTTTTGGTTATTTTTGCCCGTTGGTTTTCTTGGGTTCCTTGCCATTTTTCCGGAGGGGTTACCTTTTGTTTTGCCCCTTGAAGGTTCTTTTATACTCTGGATCCTATATTCATAGGCTAATTTCTGACAGTTTTCTCTTAGAGCTGTTTTTTCCCCCCATTGTTCCTACTTTAGGCAAGGACCACGTCCTCTCGTATCTGTCTCCAGAGCTCCAGCCCATCTTGCTATCGTCCTGGCCCTCCTAAAATGTCATATGTTGTGTCCCTTTTCTGTGTCACCCCCCACTGTAGGTCTTTTTTGCTTTCAGTTCCCCTCACTTGCATTTCAGGCCCTCTAGCAGTTGGTGAGATTTATATCTTATTCATCCTGGCTGGACAAGGCTGTGCCTCATAGATATCGAACTTATTTCTACTGTTTGCCTTTTGCTTATGTTGTCTGTCGTATCTTGTTCTATTCACATCATATCACCGTTTAGGTCCCTTCTGAACTGTTACTTCTTCATGATGCATCATTTGCTTATTCTAGCTGATAATAGCCACCTATGGTAATTTATTTTTATGCTGGGAAATTTGGCATTTTCTATGTAAGAGGATCATGAAATTTAGCTCATACTACAACATGGATAGGAAGATAAGATAAAATGTTCAAATTTGCTTATACAAAAATTGTATTTCTCCTGAGTCCCTACTCACTGGTTATCTAGGGGAATATATCTAATCCAAATTAGTTTGGTCCAATCCCATTATATAAATCATCTCTTAGGAAATGGTTTCTCTTGCATAAAAATATTCAGTTTATCAGATAGTCTCAACTTCTCTCCCTGAGTCGTCCATACAAGTTGATGTATTCTCATGACTTTAGGAAGGAAGGGAGACCTCTGTCTTTAGAATGCTCCTTGAATGGGTGCTGTTTGTTGTCTGCTGTATCTCATCCCCTCTCCACCTCCCTCTCCATCTTCCCTTCCCCCCATCTCTTCCCCTTCCCCTCCTTATCTTCCTCCTTCATCTCTCTCCTCTTCCTTCTTTTCCATTTCTGTGCCTCCCAGGCTGGCTACTCCTTCCTGACTGAGTCAAGTCTTCCTGATTAGGATCTGTTCTCTCCTTATCAGATTGATTCTTTCCTTATCAACTCTATTTATTCAATTTTAAATTTAATTCTTGGAAAACAATTTTATTTCTTTCATTGCAAAGTCCTGCTCTAAGTCTACAAAACAGCAATAGATAGCCTACTGTTTCAGTGAATTCCATGTACATAGATTCTACATCTCCAATAAGATAACAAATTCACTAGGTAGCTTATGGATGATATTCTTCTTTTGTGTTCCTCACAGTATATCACCTGGGCAAAGCCCATAAAGTATATTTAATAAATAAGTGTTGTCTTGAACTTAACTAATGTGAAGAAACACGTCTCGGAGAGAGGAAAGCAGAAGGATGTTTGGCATCCAAGCTTCCCAAACATCAACCAAACTTTATACACAAGGATCCCTGGATTGTCTCGAGCCAGGGCATGGGACCCAGCTGAAGCAGACTAGACAGGCTTAGTGTTGATACTGGAAGAGCACCATGTGAATGAAAGCATTTATATAAGTAGTCAGTGTCCCCCAGAATGACTAGAAAGCAGTATCATGGAATGGAATGCTCATTACTCTGGGACTCAGTCTTGGCTCTGTCATATTCTAGTTGTCTGTGTTTGGGCTAGTGACTGAAGACCTTCTGGATCTGTTTTCTCCCTTTATGAAAACGAGGCTAATGATAATCCTGACCTACCTCATGGGAAGGGTGGTGTTGACGAGAGAATGTCAGTGATATTTCCTGGTAAACAAGAAAACACTGTCCAGATATATGGTTGTCTTAATCAGGGGTCATCATTTGTAAGGAATAGAAGCCCACTCAGATTAGCTTAAAGAAATGGAATTCACTGAATGGGTGGGTGGATATTTAGTGGAATTTAGGCATAAGCACACCTTGAGGACCCAGGAATCAGAAATTGAAGCCCGGGTTACTTATTCCTTCAATTGAAACCCATGGTTTGTGATCTGACCTTCTTTCATGTCTAATTATTTCTTTTTTGCTGTGGGAACTGGCTCACTTTGCTTCAGCATGCGTCACATAAAACTAGCCCAGAGTAATGTGAGTTCTCAGCTTCAGCTCTTCTGTTCAATTCCAAATTCCTGGGAAAGGTTGACCTGGCATGGACTAGTTGTTTACCTCTGACAGTCAGCCTTGGCAAAGGAGGCTGGGTCACACAGACCAACCTGGCCACCCCTTCAGCAAGGGCTCAGCTTCGGCTGGCTTCCTAGCTGCTTTCTGTTAATTAGCTGATTTTATAAAGCTTCATTGATTTGGGGGGTTTAAGACATTCAGGAGTCAGCTAGCACTTGCAGTTCCTGGAGCACGTTTAGGATGCTAAGTGGGCCTGATGCAAGGGAAGTTATTTTTACCTTGCTCTCTTAAATTCTCTGGTTTGGATTTCAGAGTCAGATACAGAGAAAATAGGCCATGGTTGAGGAAAGAGGAGTTGAGATAATTTTATTACTGATGATCTTCTCTGTGGCTAGATGGAAGACAAAGCCCTTATTCCAAGAGAAAAATGTCATCCAGTCTTAATCTTCTTCAACTTGATTCTTTCATATGTGTGACCTTGGTTAAGGGTTAATCTTGCTAAAACAAAGAAAAATGTGGACACAATATAAGATTTTAGATTGATTCACAACAAAATAATACAACTAATTCCAAGGGAATGTTTATTAATTATATTTTATGTATTCCCTCAGTTCAGTTCAGTTGCTCAGTCATGTCCGACTCTTTGCGACCCCATGAATCGCAGCACGCCAGGCCTCCCTGTCCATCACCAACTCCCGGAGTTTACTCAANCAAACTCATGTCCATCGAGTTGGTGATGCCATCCATACCTATATTCAAAAAAAACTTCCCTGATAGCTCAGTTGGTAAAGAATCTGCCTGCAATGCAGGAGACCCTGGTTCGATCCCTGGGTTGGGAAGATCCCCTGGAGGAGGAAAAAGCTACCCAATCCAATATTCTTGCCTGGAGAGTTCCATGGACAATACTATATTCAAAAAGGATTTGAGGCATTTTATAAAGGTCCAAAGCATAAACACAGTAAATACAAAAATCAAGTAGTGAAAAGGGGATAAATAGAAGAAATTATATTTTAAAATTCTGACTGATAATCTGTTAATAACTATTTGCAGAAAAATAAAGTTAGAGTTCTACCTTACCCCATAGATCAAAATAAATTCCAAATGCAATAAAGAGTTAAACATAATTGTTAAACTATAAAGAACTAGAAAAATACATTTAAATGTTTATCATTTTTCATGGCAGGGTGGGAAAAGCATATCTCATTAGTAAAGAAAGAAACCTTGAAAGGAAATATGAATATGGCTACATAAAAATTTAAAACTTCTTGACTTCACAAAGCACCAGAAACAAAATTAAATGAGAAAAGTATTTTCAATACAAACAACAAAGAGTTAATAAATTCACTCTGAAATTTAATAGCTTTATCTGTTAAAATAATAAAAACACAAACATTCCATAGATAAATGAAGGACAAAAACCAAATTTTTTAAGAATTAATGCAAGAAGCAAATATACATGAAAAGATACTAAACCTAAATAATGAAAATAAATGCAAATTAAAACGTTGAAATTTTTTAAAAATTGAAATTCTATTTAACACCTATGATTAGAAAAAATTTTGGAAAATTATATCCAAACCGAGAAGAGATACTGAGAAAAGGGAACTTATGTATCCTGATGACCAGAAGACCAGAAGACCTTTCTGGAGGGCAATGAGGCAATATTTTGAAATGCTCATGAAACATACCCTTTTTCTCAGAAATTATATTTCCAGAAGTTTGCCCTTGGGAAATAATAAAGTTTGGTCAAAGATTTATGTATAAGAATCTTTGTTATTTATTCTTTTTTTGAATAGAAACTATTCCCAGAGTTTCTACAATGAACATTTATTTCTTTTGCAATACGAAAAAAAAAAAAATATTACTGCTCTGAATCTATTTTCTTTAAAAAGTGAATTCATTCCCATTAATTGGGAAATCTGTGCTCAGTTTTGAAGAGTAAAGTAACGTTTTGGTCATTCAGCATCTTGCTTTGGAAACGTCTGATGAGATCGGTTAGTAATTAAATAAGATCCTTGAGTCATCAAAACTTGTACAAACTCTTTTTACCATTAGTATGAGAGCTCCTTGGGGCTTCCCTGATGGCTCAGTTGGTAAAGAATCTGCCTGCAATGCAGGAGACCCCAGTTTGATTCCTGGGTCGGGAAGATCTGCTGGAGAAGAGAGTTTGATCCCTGGGTTGGGAAGATCCCCTGGAGAAGGGAGAGGCTACCCACTCCAGCATTCTGGCCTAGAGAAGTCCATGGACTAGGGTTGCAAACAGTCAACCGTGACTTTCACATGAGAGCTCCTTGGGGCTGTTTATTTCCTTTCTGTTGTAGACAAGATTTGAAAAGGCGATGTTGTCTCTTTCCATTCTAGAGCCAGTCAAAGGCAGGCGCTGGGTACCAGTAAAGTGATGGCTGGGGGCCTGAGAGCAAGAGAGGAAAGGCTGTGAACTAGACGACAAAAACAGTGAAACAAACCAAGTTCCCACATTAGTGCAGCAATTTGGGGCCAGTTAAAATAATGGCTAATAATCATTTACGTTGAAATGGCTCCTGAAGGCATGGATGATGATTAATATTTCCTATGGAAGACTTTAGGTCAACCTTAGGAAAACTCCAAAAACATTCCATTTCCCTTGTTTCAAAAACAAAGAGGTTATGTAATATGTTTGAAAATTTATATTATATTCAGTATGCTTAAAATAGAGCAGAATTTGGCATTCACATAGGGTAAGCTTTAATTATCTGAAAAAAACTACCTGAGTGGAAAAATAATCAGAATAAATTAGGTGATTCCCTCCGTGATCAGAAAATTCCACAGTAGAATTCCACACTGAAGATTCTGAAGTTTAAAAAAAAAAAAAAATGAAGGAATGAAGTGACTTCTGGAGAGAAGGAGATGGGTGTCTGCTCTCATGGGACTCTTGCTCACCTGTGCTGGTCCAGCTCACCTCGTGATGTGCCTGTGGCCCTTTTTCTCTGACTTAGGACTGCCCTCCAGATGCAGAGGACTTCCGAGCCCAGCAGTGTTCAGCCTACAATGATGTTCAGTACCAGGGACGTTATTATGAATGGCTTCCACAGTACAACGACCCTGCCGCCCCCTGCGCGCTCAGGTGTCAGGCCCGGGGACAGAACTTGGTGGTGGAGCTGGCACCCAAAGTCCTGGATGGGACTCGGTGCACCGCTGACTCCTTGGACATGTGCATCAGTGGCATCTGCCAGGTAAGCCACACCTGCTGCCGGGCCCCTGTCTCCAGCCTGTGCTGCAACCACTGTCAGTAAAGATAACCTTTCTCTTCGGTACTTCGGTTCATGCAGACGAAATATTGCCTTTGAGGATTTTAATGTAAAACGTATTTTAAGGAGCATTTTTCACCTGTAGATTATATTTTACTTATTCAAAATAGTGTAAATGTTGCCCACATAGAGTCAAAAGACTATAATATATGACTTGTAGATTTTTCTAGATCAGTGGTTCTCCAACTTGAAAGTATATCAGAGTTACCTGAGGGACTTGTTAAAGTGTTCTGAACCCCAATTCCAGAGCTTCTGACCCAAAAGGTCTAGGGTTTGGCCTCAAAATTTGCTTTCTAACAAGTTCCCAGGAGGTGCTGATGCTGCTAGCCCAGAGACACCACTTTGAGAACTACTGATTTATTGGTATTGATAGGTTCTCTGAATTTTCTTGTTAAAAGTAATTCATTGTTTGAGGCCTGTGGGCGCAGTGACTTATTTACTAAGTAATTAGCATGAGTGTACTCCAGCAGACTTTTTAAAGTGATCTTTGCAGAGTTGTGATGAATGTGACTGAGGTATAACCCCCCATGGCTTGCAGTAGGGGTGAGGACTCAGGGGACTATGACAGGTTGCTGAGACAGTGTGGGGATTGTTGGGAAGGGATAGAATTCTACTCCATTCCTTTGATCACTGGAAAAAATTATAAACATAGGGAATGCTTACTATTCCATCTACCCTATTATGTGCATAACAAAAACAGCAGTAACAGTGGCAAATGACCCTAACCATCTACTAAGTGTCAGACCCTTCCAGGTATCTCTGACTTCTTATGCTTGGAGGAACCGTGGTCTTGCTTATCAGATGAGTTTCTCCTTCCTATATCCCTCCATCTGGAAAACAATCTCCAGTTGCTCACCACAACACCTTGGAGTCATTCTTAAAAAAATTTTGTAAACAGTTGTTTACAGTGTTGTGTTACTCTAGACGGTAGGTTCTCATTAGTTATCTATTTTATACATAGTAGTGTATATGTGTCAGTATCAATCTCCCAGTCCATCCCACCCCCTTTTCCCCACTTGGTGTCCGTGCATTTGTTCTCTACGTCTTTGTCTCTATTTCTGTTTTGCAGATAGGTTCATCTGTACCTTTTTTAAAAAAATCATTCTTGAGTCTTCTCTTTCAATCTACACATGTAATCCATTGCTGAGTCAATTCTACCTTCAGACAACATAGTTGGATCTTGTTTTTTGAGCTACCGTGACGTTCTTTATCTTTTTAACTTGTATATTTCAACTCACTGCCATACCCCAGTATTCCCACAGTGTTTGTCCCCATCAAAAGTACTTAGCTAAAAACTGGTGGAATAAATGAGTCTTATCTACTTGCAGATGCAAAAGGTTGTTCATATCTCTTGGTCTCTTTTATTTCTCTTTCAGCCTACTATCTTGAATTTTCTAGTTCAAGTTTGATGTCCATTCTGGGAGATTCCACAAATTCCTCCAATACACCATGGGAATTCCTCCAGTTCTCACCCCTTCTCAAATGAACTAGTATTGTTCTTCCCAGATCTACTAGTTATTCAAACTGCATCTATTCATTTCTGTTTTTGACACCGTAATTCTCAGTGTCACCTTCCTGAATTCACGTTGTGGTCACTAAGTGTATTTGCTTATTACGTGTCCTCTATCCTGATACTTCTATCAAATTTCTCACATTTCACTTTTTTTCCCTCTCTACTTTCACCGTTTTACTCCAAAACTAGACTAGCCAATCTCCTTTGGTGGCCTAACCATCGCTCTTCCTTTCTCTTCTACTCTTAAATCATCTTATTTGATGTTTACTGTTGACTAATCTTCCCAAAGTTCAGAGTTTATGACTTTATTCTTTTATTATATATGCTGTCAATGATTTCCCTTTATAACCACCAGTTAACTTTTGGGCTCTTCCATGAAATAATAATAATAGCTATTTTTGTTCAGTGGAGTTATACTTTTTTGTTTTACAAGTTTTTGACGATGAATTGTTATGAAAAACAATTTAATCTGGGCTAAAGAGGAGTAATGCAATCCAGATAATGTTTGGACACTGAGGCTTTGAAGACTTGAGTAGAAGTTACATAAACAAAAGATGAGGAAGAGAATCCCAGGCAGAAGAATAGAGTTTGTAAAGAGATGTGACAGTAGGTGTGTTTAAGCATCTTCGACTCATTCTGTAGAGTTGAGGTGAAAAAATACCTGTGGGACAATGCTAGAAGTTGAGACTGCAGATGTAGGTGGAAACCAATCATGAACTAATTCTGAAAGTTGTGAGAGGAGCCAGTGAAGAATTTTTTAAGAAATAGCTCGGTTGGGATTGTCTCTAGGAAGGTCAGTCAAGTGGCAATGTGGCAGATTATCTGGGGAAGATGGGGTCAGAGCATATAATAGGTTAAGTTGGGATAACAAGAGAACTTCACAGGTGGCTCAGTGGTAAAGAATCCACCTACCAGTGGAGGAGACCCAGCTTTGATCCCTGGGTCAGGAAGATCCCCTGAAGTAGGAAATGGCAACCCACTTCAGTATTCTTGCCTGTGAAATGCCATGGACAGAGGAGCCTGGCAGGCTACAGTCCATGGGGTCACAAACAGTTGTACACGACTGAGTGACTGAGTAGGTGCACTGGATAAAGGTGGTTTTCAGTGCTGAATTAGTCCCTCTAGAATGTGTACTTCCTGGGACTTCCCTGGAGGTTCAGTAGTTAAGACTGTATGCTTCCAATGCAGAGGGTAGGGTGCAGGTTTGATCCTTGGTTGGGGAACTAGGATCAGATGGAAAAAAAATCAAAGTAGAATGTGTGCTTCCTATCATGTTTTTGTGAGTCTGATGGGCAAGCGGATTTTTTGGGCAGGTGGTAGCTTGCTGAAAGCTGAGTGCTCTTCTGGTAAGGCTGTCCAGGTCAAAAGAATTGTATGCACTTCTTCAGAAGTGATTCACATGCTTCTCAGTTGAATTCAGTATCTTTCCTTCCACGGGATAATGTTCATATAAATTCCCTTTTCTGGACTGTGTGGCTATGGCTGTTCACAGTTATCGGGATGGGAGAAATTAAACTGTGTGGTTCTCTCTGATTACTTTGGAATCAGTGAGCTGAGCCCTGATGTTCACTTGGCAGAGACTGCAAATAATTTTTGCAAGTGTGTTTAGAGTTTGCTTATTTACATGACTGTGTCACCGTGCTCCTAAGAACAACCTACCGTGAGTCTGAGCACAGCATCTAGCATTAGACAACTATACTCACTCAGTGAAATTTGCTTTTGCTTTGGGGGCCTGATTTTTACCAGAAATAGGAACTGTTTGGAGCCAGATCTGGAGAACAAGTCCAATGTATCTTTCAGGTTTATTGAATTCCTTGACAACTGAGTAAATGAAGAAATCACTCTGTGTTTCTAGTAAAAACAATAGCATCCAACACATACTGGATGCTTACTCGGGGTCAGGCACTGTCTAAGCCCTTGACTGTTTTAGCTCATCAGACACTCTGAAGCTGGGTTAGTCATTATCCTCACTCTGTTCATAAGAAAACTGGAATTTGAAGAGGCTAAGTGATTTGCCCTGATGATACAGCTAGAAAATGGTAGAGCTGAAATTTGAACCCAAGAAACTGAATTCCAAAATCTGTTTTTTTAACCTTTGTGCTATATTGATGATATTTTTACTTTTTGTGTTACTGAAAGTATCACTGAAGTTTGGAAATGAGATGCTATTCTAGCAGACGACAGTCAGCACAATAGGTGAGTGATGCTTAGACAGTTTAGGATAGAGGTTGAAACTCAAATATCTACACCCCACTCAGGGAGGAAGACTGCTCAGGTGTAGTCATAATGAGTAATGAGAGCTATCATGAGCTGGAGAATATATACCTGCTTGTTGATGTGCTCAAGGGATCAACCATATATAAACATCAGTTTTTGTCAACAGGAGGCAGAAATCTAGATTTTAATGTGAAGTGTTCAATTTCAAGCAACACCATGATGTTAATGACATTGCTCTATCCATCAATAGTTAAGTAGAACTCCAATATAATAGAGGCTAGGTTTTCCTTCAGTAATAAAAAACCCCCCAAAAGCTCCATGGCTTAAAACAAATATTACTTTTAATCATGCTACTTGGCCAATGTGGGTCAAGCAGGGGTCTCTGCCCTTGAATGTCTCAGAGACCCAGACTGAAGGAGCCTTTATTTGCACACACGTTTTGCATAATAACTATAGTAGTGAGGAGGGGAACGTGTGACTCATGCGCTGACCCTTGAAGCTTCTAACCAAAGAGATGCAGACACTTAGACTCATATTTCATTGGCCAAAGACAATCAATGACCACACTTATTTCTAAGGGGGCGGGGAAGTGCAGTCCTCCATGGGCAATTATTTATGAATATTCCTAATGACTGCCATAGCTCCATATACTCTGATTTTTCAGGCAGAAATGTTAGAATTTTTTATAATGTAGAATTCAATTTTCAGAGATCTCTAACAGAAGTTGACTCAAAAAATTATTTGCTTTTTGAAGGATTAAATTTGACTGATCTGGGAAATTCATACTTTGTTCCATCTGGAGTAAAGACCCTTATTTAAACACTGACTTCTATGAACAGATTAAGAAATCATAGGCTGGAACTATGAAAATAATCCTTCGCTGAAGTGACGATTTATATATGAGTATTTATTGCCCAAAGCACTGCTCATATATCTTAAATTTTTACTTATATTATCCCCTGTGTTGTGTAACTTGTCTCATCAACTGCACTGTAAAATAGGAATCCATCTTATTAATTTAGACTGTAATGCCTGGCTCTATACAAGTTGGCTGTGTGGGTGTTAATACATTTTATTGACATGTTTATCAATGAGCGATTTTTAAATCATTACAGCTAGAGATCTTGACTTCAGGAGAAGTTACTGAACTTGAAAAAGGTTCAGGAAATTCTTTAAAAGTTGCTCATTGTTGATTATGATGAGATCTGAGAGCCAGTATTCAGTAGTCCCTCAATTTCAAGGGCAGTTTTGGCTTATCTCCTATGATTCACAAGGCAATCAGATCTTTTTGGATATTATTTTTCTGTGATGTTTTCACATGCTTTTTTTGGCTGCAGGATTTGGATGAACTGTAACTTTAAAAATTATGAAATAAATATCAGTGCTCAGGGAGGTATTTGATTGCGCAAGATCTTGCAAGGCTCTAAACACCCTTCAAAACAAGCCCATCCTAGCTCCTAAACCCACACCCTTCCTGAATGACCAGATAAAGAGCGATTCTCATTCTCATGAAATGCAAAGTGCTCAGGGACCCACATATGTGAGGACAGAGCTTGGCCCAGGAACAGTATTTCTATAATTTAATGGTAGAATTACTCCCCTTGGAGAAAGTTGCTTGAACACAAGTTACTCATTGATTAAATCTTAACCATGCAAGTATGGTTCCAAAATCAATCACTCTTAAGTTATTCCACATGTACTTAGTAAATATTAATATAATAGCCTGTGTAACTGGGTTTGTTGTTTTCCATTTGCTGATACTAAAGGTGAGGAAGATAGAACATAGTGATAAGATTCTGGTGTCAGAGGACCTGGATATTCAAACAATATACTAGTTGTGTAGTGTTGGAAAGTCATGTAACCTCAGAAACAGTCAGATGCCTAATTTGTAAAATAGAGATAAAAGGTATCAAACGGTGGCCATGAAAATTAAATGAAATAATGTGTATTACATGCTTGACATAACACCAGCATTCAATAAAAATCAACTATTATTATTACTGTTTCACTATTATCTTTATAAAAAATCATATAATCAGCATGAAAGGGTCTCAGAGGATTCAGCAGATCATCAAATAATTTAATTCCCTCTCGTTTTCCTGTCCCAAATTCTCCTACCTAGCCTGTGATTGAATATTTATTGTTGGATAACTCTGACTCTAAAAACGTTCTCATATTGAACTAAATTACACCTAAACCTGTAGCTTTCACCATTTGAAAATACACAGAACAAATGTAAAGCCTTTCTTCACGACATCCCTCTGTGAATTTGAAAATATCTCTAATCGTAGGCCTTTCCTCAAACTTCCTTGGAACTTTTCCCATCTCTCCTTGAAACTTTCATTTGATCTTGTTCCTTCCCTTCAGCAGCAGCACTTTGAAGAGAATAGTCGATAGATGTGGTTTCGACTTCCTTCAGTTTTATATTCCCGTCAACACCTTGGATACAGACTCTGATCCAGCAGCTCCCCCAAGCCGAAGTGTAGGGGCTCAACTCGGGAGTCTAGGCAAAATGAAAAACAGAGAGGTGATTCAAGGGGCTCTCTTTTGTTGAGCCCTTCGAGTATTCTAATTACTGTACCAGGAGTTTTGCATGTATTTTCTTATTTCATTCCTAGTATAGACCCTCTGTGAAGTATGTGTAAGTGTCCCTATTTTACTCTTGAGGAAAATGAGTCTCCTAGAGTAGTTTGCATTGTTGTACATCCTGCATCTTGAAAGGGGTGGTAGGACTGGGTAGTTGTTGTAATCAGGCTGTTTGCCTCCAAGGTCTCTGCACTTAACCACCAGGCATATAAATACAAATAACACTGAAAGTGTGCAGAGTTAGAAATAAACCAGCTCATTAGTTAATGTTAATATTACTAGGTGTATGTCATGTAAAAGTTATATTTATAAAATAAAAAGAAATATAAGATGTAGCCCTTTTTCCCATATAAGGAAGCTCACAGTTCAGCAGATGCACACACATTACTCACAAAAGCTTCCCTCATAGCTCAGTGGGTAAAGAATCCACCTGCGATGCAAGAGACCCTGGTTCGATTCCTGGGTTGGGAAGATCTTCTGGAGAAGGGATAGGCTACCCACTCCAGTATTCTTGGGCTTCCCTTGTGGCTCAGCTGGCAAAGAATCCACCTGCAATGTGGGAGACCTGGATTCGATCCCTGGGTTGGGAAGATCCCCTGGAGAAGGGAAAGGCTACCCACTCTAGTATTCTGGCCTGGAGAATTGCATGGACTAATAAGTCCATGGGATCTCAAAGAGTTGGACACAACTGAGTGACTTTCACTTCACTTCTCTTCACTTACAAAAAGTAATAATTCACAAGAGACTGAAGGATGTCAGTATAAGCATATTCTGAGATATCTCTCTTGTTAATTCCTTATATTTTAAAAATTATTTATAAAAGTTTTTATAAGAATTATATACACACACACATATACATATATAAGTAAAAATATGTAGGTATAAATATAGATAATGATACAGAAGGATATACAAAGATCCAGATACAGGATATTGAGAGAGATGGATTTATCAATATGAATAAGATATAGGTATGTGTGTTAGTCGCTTAGTTGTGTCTGACTCTTTGCGACCCCATGGACTGTAGCCCACCAGGCTCCTCTGTCCATGGAATTCTCCAGGCAAGAATCTTGGAGTAGGTTGCCATTTCCTTCTCCAGGGGATCTTTCAGTCATGTCCAGCTCTTTGCGACCCCATGGACTGTAGCCCACCAGGCTCCTCTGTCCATGGAATTCTCCAGGCAAGAATCTTGGAGTAGGTTGCCATTCTCTTCTCCAGGGGATCTTTCCAACCCAGGGATTGAACCTGGGTCTCCTGCATTGTAGGCAGATTCTTTATGATCTGAAGACCAGTGATGTAGGTATAGATTGAGATTAAAAATAGGAAAAAATTAAACTATGGACCAGAAGGATATATATCAACCTCAAAATAGTGGTCATCTGGGGGAAGAAATGAGAGAACAGGACTAGGGTAGGGATAGAACGAGAGGGAAGGGGTTGGGGGAGGAGGAGGGAGGAAGTATTTGTAATGTTCCTTTCATTTTATGTACATAAAATAGCTGAATAGAAATATAAGTAAAAAACTAAGGATGTGAGTGTCAAAGGGCAGCCTCCATTCATCTTTAATTCTTTGGTCTTTGGATAAGAATTTTATATATAAATGACATGGTGCTGTAAAGCTTTATATATTATTATTATATTTAAGATTTTTTTTGATTTAACCATTTTCAAATTCTTTATTGAATTTGTTATAATATTGCTTCTGTTTTATGTTTTGGGATTTTTTGTGTTTTTTTTTTCTTTTTTTTTTTGGCTATGAGGCATGTGGGATCTTAGCTCCCTAACCAGGAATCAAACTCACACGTCCTGGGCCATTGGGAGGCGAATCCAGAGGTCCTAACCTCAGGACCCCCCAGGGAAGTCCCTTTATTTATTATTATATATTTTTAAATCTGTGTTCTCATCAAAGAGAGCCAACTCATACACTTAAGAAGGATAACACCATCGGTATGATTTCTGAAATACATAAGGTCTGATATGCCCATATCTCTACCCACTCCTGACCGTATCTTCTGTCTGCAGGCAGTGGGCTGCGACCGGCAACTGGGGAGCAACGCCAAGGAGGACAACTGTGGTGTCTGTGCTGGTGACGGCGCCACCTGCAGGCTGGTGCGGGGACAGTCAAAGTCACACGTGTCTCCTGAAAAAAGTAGGTTTTAAACCCAACACATTACCATACAACAGCTTGTGCTTTAGACTGTCTGATAGTAATATAACATTTTCCCATTGCTGAGGTTTTTAGGTAGTAAGAACTTTTGAATGGTGTTCTAAAAGACACATTTCTCCCCAAAAGTGTAGTCGATCAAATTTTTATTCCCATTACCTCTTCTTAGATTTCCTGTTTCTTTGAACTTTTGCCAATACAGAGTACAACTATTTTTTTTAATTTGCTGATTTTTTTAAGGTAAACTAGGAGTCATTATTTCTTTTGCCCCCTTTTGATTGCTAACAAGGTAGAAAATATCCTGTATTTATTGAAATATTGTCCTGCATTTATTGCCCATTTATACTTTTTTATCTTTCAATTAGTTGCTGAAGTCATTTACTTTTTTCCCTATTTGGATGGTGATCTTTTCCTCACTTTTATCATGAATATATACTATTTGTTGTAACTGTTTTTAATATTCTCAGTTTGTCATTTGACTGTCAGTATTGTTTGTGTTTGTAGAATCAGTAGTTTCTAAATTATAGATACACAGGATTCTCCACCTTTTAAGTAATCAATTACCAAAAGTAAGTCATTAAAATTAGTATTAGTCATTAATGACTAAATTAGTTAGTCATTAAAAAAGTATTACTTTTGGTAATACCTGATTAATTTTTTTTTAATTAATGATCAGTCAACTTTTTCTGTAAAGGAGTAGAGAGGAAATATTTAAGGGCTTTTTAGCCTCTATAGTTTCTGTCTTAGCTACTCAGCACTGCTGCTACAGGTAAAAAGCAGCCACAGGCAACCAGTGAACCAATGGAAAGAGCTGTGTTCCAATAAAGTTTTATTTACAAAACTAACCTGCATGCTAAATTTGACCCTCAGGGTGTAGTTTGCCTACCCCCTGCCTTAAAGAGAAAAAAATTATACATGTATGCCTTCTGCCAGTGCTTTTTTGTATGTGTGTTCCTACTTTAAAATCTTATTTCTTTGAGTTTATTTGGATTTAACTTATGAAACAGAAAGTGAAAGTGAAAGTCGCTCAGTCCTGTCTGACTCTTGCAACCCCATGGACTGTAGCCCATGGGATTCTCCAGGCCAGAGTACTGGAGTTGGTAGCTGTTCCCTTCTCTAGGGGATCTTCTCGAACCAGGAATCAAACCAGGGTCTCCTGCATTGCAGAGGGTTTCTTTACCAACTGAGCTATCAGGGAAGCCAAAAGTTTATTTATTTTTTTGGCCACACTGATTGGCTTGTGGGATCATAGTTCCCCACCAGGGATTGAACCTGTGCCCCTTGCATTGGGAGCACAGAGTCCTAACCATTGGACTGCTAGGGAAGTCTATGAAATGGGGATTTTACTCATTCTCCCAAAATGGGGAGAACCCTAGAGGAGGAGTGGAGCGTGGAGAGGGTTTTCCAGGCAAAGGAAACACAAAGTTCATGGCGTGACATTCGAGTGAAGCCTGGACTTCCTTGAGTAACCTAGGATTGCACATCGGTTAGGGTGGAAGGAAAGATACAGTGGCATTCAGAAGGAATCATAAAGGCCTTCATTGTTGCAAGTCATGTTTCAGGTTAAGTGAAGTCATTACAGCAATTTAGGCCGTGGAGGGATTTAATTAGATTTGCATTTTAATGAAGTGATTCTGGCAACTTGTGGAGCTGAGCCTGGAAGCAAGGAGTCTAACTAGGATGCCGCATTTAAATACTCAAGGGTGTTTGAAATAATGATGTCTTCATCGGGGTTGTAGTAAGGTGGGAGAGAGAGAGGAAGGAGCAGAGAGGGCAGAGAGGTTTAGGAGAGAGAGTCAGCAGAGTTTGCCAATTCACTGAGTGAAAACTGTAAGAGAGGAAGCTAGAATGATGCAGATTTCCCAGCCTGAGCAGCTGGGTGGATTTCTTTTCTGTCCATCTGGGGAAGGAATGCATGAAGAGGAGATGCATACCAAAAATAAGGGTTCACCTCCTTGGGTTTTCTTCTTTCCAGAAATTTGGCCCCATAAGTAGTCAGTGCTTTGGTACTTTTCTGATACCTTCAAACAGGTGTTAATTATATTTTGTTTGGGGTGAAAGAGTTGATCTGAAATGTGACAGTCCATTGTTGTTAATGGTCTTTAGTTATGCATTTTTTAATACATATATTTTTTAAGGTAATTAACTTTTTATGGTTGCATCGGGTCTTAGTTGCAGCTCAGGGGATCTTCCATCTTCGTTGTGACACGCGGGATCTTTAGCTGTGGCGTTGGAATTCTTAGTTGCAGCACGTGGCATCTAGTTCCCTGACCAGGGATCAAACCTGGGCCCCCTGCATTGGGAGCGTGGAGTCTTAGCCACTGGACCACCAGGGAGTTCCCTTTAGTTATAAATTAACTGAGTTTATCCAAAGAGAGTATATACAATATATTAGGAAGGCATGAGAATTTAGCCAGGGAAAAAGCTCAAAGTTTTTCAAGTGAATTCAAGGGATTCAAGTGAAAAGATAATGAGAAGAGTAGGTAAACTCAGAACTTAGCAGAAGCAATATGGGAGCTGAAGGAATAAGTAATTCCAAAAAAGGAGGTAATAGTCGGCCATGTGAAATGCTGTTTCGAGGTCAACTGGAATAAAAGTCCAAAAATTTCTCATTGGCAATTTGAAGCCAAATCTGTGACCTTAGCAAGAGTGGTTTCAGTGAATTTCTGACTAAAACCAAAGCCTGATTGCAGTGGGTTTAGAAGTAAATAGAAGATGAGAGAATGAATGGAGGGAAGGATTTTCCCAGGACTAAAGGAGGGGGTACACAATCATACCATGTTAAGAACTGAGTAACTCTAGGTGCCCTTGGAGAACATGGTGAAAAATTAACTGTGTTCCAATACAGTTTTTTTTTCTTTTTACATTCTGTTCATTAGGAGGTAGAATCAGCTGCTTTAGAGTGAAGACTCTCAAACAGATTCACCAATGGGGATAATAATTATGCTCAGCTCTTAAGGTCATTGTGAGGATCAAATTAAACTACGTATGAAAAAGTGTCTGACACGTAGTTAACATTGGCTGAAGGATAAAGGGAGATGACCCTACTCTCCAGCCATCCTTTTCTCCACTGAAAGCTATGATCTCTACATCACTTCCTTCTTTAGGATAAAGCATTGGCAAAGGGATTAACAGTAGAAAAACAATTTGAGTACAACAAAATATCCGTGCAAGCTTTGGGAATAATTGTGGCAGAAGGGCGCTTACTGACTTGAGAAATAGGTTTCATATTCTTTCAGTTGCAAAATGTACTATTGTCTGAACTGTCTGTTGTAGACAGTAAGCCCGAGTTGGTGTTTGGTGAGCACGGCGTCTGGTCCCATCACTTCATGGAAAATAGATGGGGAAACAGTGGAAACAGTGTCAGACTAATTTTTGGGGCTCCAAAATCACTGCAGATGGTGATTGCAGCCATGAAATTTAAAGACGCTTACTCCTTGGAAGGAAAGTTATGACCAACCTAGACAGCATATTAAAAAGCAGAGACATTACTTTGCCAACAAAGGTCCGTCTAGTCAAGGCTATGGTTTTTCCAGTGGTCATGTATGGATATGAGAGTTTGACTGTGAAGAAAGCTGAGCACTGAAGAATTGATGCTTTTGAACTGTGGTGTTGGAGAAGACTCTTGAGAGTCCCTTGGACTGCAAGGAGATCCAACCAGTCCATCCCAAAGGAGATTAGTCCTGGGTATTCGTTGGAAGGACTGATGTTGAAGCTGAAACTCCAATACTTTGGCCACCTCATGCAAAGAGTTGACTCATTGGAAAAGACCCTGTTGCTGGGAGGGATTGGGGGCAGGAGGAGAAGGGGATGGCAGAGGATGAGATGGCTGGATGGTATCACCAACTCGATGGAGATGAGTTTGAGTAAACTCCGGGAGTTGATGATGGGCAGGGAGGCCTGGCATGCTGCGATTCATGGGGTCACAAACAGTTGGACACATCTGAGCGGCTGAACTGAACTGAACTGAATTGAGCTAATATTATGATGCCAAGGAATTATAAAAAGATTTCAGACTCCCTAAAAAAATAAAAGTAAAACAGAATCACAGATATAGGAAACAAACTTCTGGTTACCAAAGGGGAGAGGGAAGGGGGAGGGACAAACTAAGAGGATGGGATTAGCAGATACAAACTACTGTATAGAAAATAGATAAACAACAAGAATATACAGCATAGCATGGGGAATTGATTATACCCAATATCTTGTAATAACCTGTAATGGAATATAATCCACAAAAATACTGAATCACAGTGCTGTGCACCGGAAACTAACACAATATTGAAAATCAACTGTACTTCAATAAAAAAAATGGGGGGACTGTCAGAGACTTGAAGTGGGTAAGGAACTCTTCGAACACAGTAAGGAGGACAATTCCCAGAGGTTAGGACTCTGCACTTTGACTGCTGGGGCCCAGGTTCAGTCTGGGTCCAGTGAGCTAAGCTCCCAGAAGCCCCATGCGCGGTATCCTCCCCAGAGGATGGTAAAGAGGCAGAGGAGTAGCTGCAAGGGGCCTGGGTGAGACTGGGCACTGTGAATTCGTGGAGGTCCCATGCGCTTCTCCAAGGAGCTGGCTTTGAGGGATGTGTACCAGGGAGGGATGCATTCTATGGCAAATCACAGGAAACCCAACTTACAGATGCAGGAGTTTACATATCTCTTCTAAGCAGAAGTCTGGAGTAGGCAGTCAGGTTTGGGGAAGCTGTTTTACTGTGTTTTTGTGGAACCAGGCTCTTGTCTCTCTTTCATCAGCCTAGACTATAGCTTTCACCTGTGGTTGCTAAGTCACTGTTAAACGTCTAGACAACACATCCAGCATGTCAGGTGATAAAGAAGAAGGTGGTGCAAAAAGCATTCTTTTGATAATGTTCCCTTTAGTCAGGGAGAGAAGTCCTCCCCAGAGAATTTTGCCTCATTGACCAGAACTGTGGCATGTGAGCTAGGAATTTCCTAGGAGCTAGGAAACCAAGTGTACCACATTGCAT